GATTAGTCTGAATGAATCGGCGTTGTCGTGAATGAACCGGGTCCACTCACTCATCACGCTCGATTTTCCTCATTCCGATGGACAAACGAGCACGAGGAGGCACGCTCACGCAAAACCGACAACGCAAACCGAAATAAATTTCGGCCCTGTTTTCATACAAATCGCGCCCTTGTTCCCCATCGTTGGCATCACATCGTGTCGTTTAATTCTTTGATTTCTTGCTGTCGGAGCGCGCGCGTCCGAAGATCGCCTGCAGCGGCCATTCTCAGCGATTTCTTTCCGCGTCGCTGGCGTTCGAAAATGTTCTTTTATTCATTACGGACGCGCATTATGCCGCTTCGAGTGTCCTCGTTTCACTTAGTTTTTTTCTATCCAGCGCGGGCTGCCGTGCGTGTGTTGGATAAACATTTGCAGTATAATTGTAATCGGCTAACGGCCCGTGAGCGTCCCCGAAGCGGCGACACAATGCCAGCCCGAACGGCAGCATGAAAGGCGAGGAGGAGTGACTCCCATAACATACACTTAACAACAGAACAACAAACATTACAAGACGATCGACGACGATCGAAGCTTGCGCAAGTGAGTGTACTTGAGCACACTTTGTCAAACTGAAATTTATTGTCGGCTGAAATTTAAAAGATTAGCTGCTTACACATCCACACAATCCGAGAGTAAATTGAAATAAACGCATGTTGAAAGAAGATGCATTGTCAAACGAAAGGAATTTACGGCTGCCTTTAAGTCACTTTAAATGAACCCTTTCGGTGTTGAACTCCGAACGTTTTAAATAAACGCTTATTAAATCACTCAATGATTTATGCATATTGAAAAACGTCCCTTGCAGTCGTGTGACATACGCGCGAGGGTAATAAATCTCTGGGCGACGAGTGCGACTACTCTACGAATCACTTATACAATTCATTGTACACTACAAGTTGCGCAAGATGCAACATATGTTGCCTAACTTCAAAGCTACCCACCCAATTCAAATTCAGTAAATTTTGCGTTTTTCAACTTTTGTCAAGAGTGAATAGTGAAATCTTGTTACAGAAGCACAACAAAGGGATTAGACGTGTTAATGACGCCTTAATCCTGTTGCCCTTGCAGAAGGAGTTTTGCTTTGAGGGCTGGGGAGTTACGTTGACGCTGGCGATGAACACGATGACACCCAAATGCACAAAACCTTAATCTCTTCAAGAACGCCTCAGAAAGTAACTTGAGTCAATATAAAATTGCCTTAAGTTTATTGTTTTATTATCATCAATTTGCTTATAGACATTTTTTCATCAAAATGTGGTTTTTATGCATAAAAAAAAGAAAATTTATGGATGATATTATGTACTTGGATGTTATGTGTGTATACAAAAGTAGTTTCGACGTTATGGTACCTAAATCTCTCCGGGAGCGGCGCGGCGTGAAAGAATCGCCGTTTTTGGCCGAAATCTCTATCATATATTCTCGACGAAGTCGTTATATATCCTCGGTTTATCTTGATCCTGGATTTTGGCTTACCAGAAATCGTTCGGTTTTTGCGACCGAAGGCGCTTCAGATGCCGCTGATTCAACCAATACCACCGCCAATACGGGCCGGCGTTACGCGCGCATTTATACGAGCGGCGCATAGTTTCAATCGGGAGTCTCGCCGCCGCCGCCGCCGCCAGCGCTCGCCGACGATCGTGATCGGGGAAGTTTTATTATGTCTTTACTTTCCTATCGCTTCCACTGAGTGTTGCATCTTTGGATTGCTTGAGCGAAAAACTTAAAATCACCCGGTTGCAATCGCCTTGTAGCAGGAGCTGGATTCCGGTCCAGATTGTGGTGGCAGCTTCGAGCAGGAGTAGTTAGAACAATATTATTCCCTCGTACTCTCGGTCTCTCCACTTTCTGCACCGGCTTACACGCGAGGTTGATTCCGGAGCGGATTTCGCCTCGCGACTCTCGCACGAAAGACATAAAAATGTGCAAGCGACTTCCTTCCTGCCGCGCGGCCGCCGGCGCTGATACCGATCCGAGTTTATTCGCCGCCGCTCCAGCCGCATGGAAAAAGCGCGCGCGCGACGGGAAACGCGCCGGCAATAAATTTCGACAAAAGAGCGCGCTAAGAATCGGGCGTCCTCTGCTAAACACGTCGGGGGCGTCGGGAAGTCACGCCGCTGATTGTTTTCAACTTTTGCGCGCACACTTTTCCGACTTTTTTCCCATATTTTCTCTTTTACAATGCACACACGCATGGGGCCGCCATCGCCCAACGACGGACGGATGACAATACGCGCAACAAAACCTCTCGCGCGACAAGCGCAATTTTCCTAATGTCCTAATGTATGCAAACGCGCGGATGCAGCGAGACGGCGATAACGGGGAAGAGGCGGTTGAATGGAAACATCGGGACGCGCCGAAACCAAGGCGCGAAAGAATGCCCCATCGCGTCGACATAGAATGCGAAATGCTGCGCGCGTTGAAAATACAAAACGCACGCGAAATGCATAATGTCGACGAGACAATGGATGCATTTCCGGTTCGCGGATGCTTCCGTGCACTTTTTCTATCGCGTTTTGTTCGAAATTGCTGGCGCGTTAAGAGTCTGCGAGATTTTTTACGTTTTCATAAATACACTCACTGACTTCGCTTCGCATTATTTTAATGAAAAAGTTGGAAATATTTCATCGATGCGCAACAATCGAAGCGAAATCCATTGATACATATTTGCGCAAAGATCAAGGTAATCCATACTCGTACATTGGGTTATCTACCATCGGAGATTTACGGGATTGCAAGAGCTTTAAAGAAACCGAACATAAAAAGATTTTCTTCGGATACACCGGACAAGGACAATGCACACACAACACAACAATGGATTTGTTTCTTCGTGCATTTTCTTGTAATGCAATTATATTTTAGCATTCGACGTATTACCATTCCAAAGCAAACCAAACGTAAGTAAAGCGTTTGTTTGAAGTTGGAGTCTTTATGCGTCCCGGTTATTTTCGTGCTGGAAACTTTCAGTTCTTAAAATGTTTGCCTTTCCACATAATAAACGTGCCGGAGGGCCACACCGCGGAATTTCTTTCAGGTTGCTGGTTTTAATCCCCCGGCTAACAAATTAGAGCTGCGCGCGGTTGTAAATCGTCGCGTTTTCAACTTTTCTACTTTTCGGTTTCTTCGGCGCGCGCAGATAGTTTACTGCGCGTTACTTTTAGTGCCGCGGAGATTTACTAGATTTACTTGATCACACACACGTTTCGGATGTTCGACACTCGCGCGTGTTATAAAACATAGTTAATCCGGCGCGCGCGCCACCCATTTCGCTAGCGCTGGCGTAGTTTCGCCATCCACCGACTGTTGCGCACTCAACAATTCAGCAACAGGAAGCGTAAATGTATTTCTAATCGCCGAATTTCGGCAACCGGCAGCACACATTCCTCTCTGTATTAAATATACATACGTCGTAAATTTCTCAGCCGGCGAACTTAAACCTATACTTAGTTGTGCACACAGAGAGCGAAACAACGAAATGGGAAAGTCGTGAACTATCTTTGGGCGGCGGCAGTCTTTAGATCCGCGGCGCATAGTGAATTTCTGCCCGAAACGTGTCACACGTCTCCGGGAGCATTACCGCTGCTTCATCTTAATCAACCCGCCGGAGTGTGAATAAGAAATGCGCAGTGTCATCGCCGGCTGTCGAACAAAAAAAAATTGTTTCATATTAACGCGTGCGCGGTTTTGGCCGAGGGTGGCATTGATGACGGACGCGCTGGCTCTCGTTGTCGAGTCGATCATTTACGAAAACATAAAAAACATGTGCGTGCATTAGGGCAATTTGTTTCGCGGCGCTTTTTTCGGGCGGCGTGCGTTCGAGGGGTGGCACATCCCGAAATGTTCCGAACACGTGTTACGCGCGCGCCCCGCTCGGGTTCATTTGCGCACCGCCGCCACCCGGGAGCATAAAATTACCATCGTTATTAAGAACATTCGAACGCCCGACCTTTGAACCGTGTTTTTTATTTTTATTCAATTATTCGCGTATTGCACACTGAAGAGAGAAAAAAAAGTTATGAATCATTGCGGGTGCACGTTGACACAGCAAGCAAGGGTGACGCTTATTAAACGAAACATTGAAATCAGGTCAGGTTGGCGTTTTATTTTTGCCGCCTGCTCATTTGATACGGGGTCCGGTTCAGACGACGACGCTGTGTGGCGGTCGGCGCTTCTGCGCGCAGCGCCAACGGATATAAAATTAAAGCGGTTTTCCATTTCGCGCGGTGTGCTTGCGGTTTGCGTCTTTCGTATTCGCGCTAAGAAACGCGCGCGGTGGAAGGGAGCGCACCCTCGCTGCGGCGCGGTGAAATAGGGCATGGTTTCAACGTGCGGCATGTCAGGGGTGGGACCAAACCGCGCGGGGCCCTCAAAAACCGCCACTGGATTGGCCGTCGCGTCGCTCTCTATCCGACGCGTGAAAAAATCCGATTTTCCATCTTTCGCCGCAACCGCTGCGCCCGTCTCCCTCGCTGCCGCCACCGCCGCTACTGTTGCCGCCGTCGCGCTCCGTCTGCATCCAACCAACGTGTGCGCCGGCATTTTTTACTCTTTTCAAGATTAACCACGTCGGAGTCGGCAGCAGCGCAGCGCGCTCGCTCGATCCGCACCCCATGTCGCTTCGCATGCATTTCCACACGCCGGCGTCCTTGTCGGCTCGGTCTGTCTCGTGCGCTCTTAATAGTTTTATAAAAACGCTCGACGCTCGCACACTCGCACCGTCGACGCCGAAGAGGTGGGGAATGCGGCGTCTCACTCGTGAGCATCCAGGCATCGCGCCAACCCCGGCTCATTATTAAGCGACAAATCAGTCCTCTCTTTTCATACCTATTTATGTGCCCCATAAAAACTACCCTTCTTGACACAGGGGGGGCATTTAGGCGGGGGTGTGTGTGCGTCTGTCGGCGTTGAGTAGATATTGACCAGAACGAAAAAGTTTCCAACAGTTCACCTCGAAGTATCGCCGAGTGCGGACGTAAAAAGTTCCCAGTCCAGAAGCGCAACAACGTACAACGCCGCAAAGGACTTAAAGGCACATTCGGAAAAACGCAGCACCAGACGGGATTTACGTTACGCCGAGAGGAAAAGCGCGCTCGACCAACTTCGTCAACGCTCGCAATTGGATTACGCCTGCCAGCGGTAGTGGTGGCGCTGAGTTTTCTTAAAACGCACGCCGCAAAGTGATTCGAATTCAAACAACTTGTAACTTCGGTGCCGTGAAGTAGTGCACGAAGAGCGAACGCGCGGTCCGCACACGCAGCAAAGTTTTACATTCGCCCACACACACGTACACAGTGCAATGCATCTACCAGCACCTAAGTTCTCGGATATGTACGCGCAGATGCAGGACGCTCTTCAGGAGTACCACGGGGAGCTGGTGCAGACCGGAAGTCCTTCGATCCTCTGCAGCGTGCTGCCGACGCATTGGCGATCCAACAAAAGCTTGCCAATTGCGTTCAAAGTGGTCGCCTTGGATGACATCCAGGATGGTACCGTCGTCACCCTCAAAGCCGGTAATGATGAGAATTTCTGCGCTGAGTTGAGGAACTGCACCGCCGTGATGAAGAACCAAGTCGCCAAATTTAATGATCTGCGTTTCGTGGGACGCAGTGGACGTGGTAAATCGTTCTCGGTGACGATCGTCATCAGCTCCCTGCCTTATCAGGTTGCTACCTACACCAAAGCCATTAAAGTCACCGTTGACGGACCAAGGGAACCCCGAACCAAATCAAGTAAGTTTTTTTTTTCGATAAAATCAAAACTTTTTAACTTTTAAAAATTGTAGACAAAAATTTTGGTAATTTTTGACGTCTTTACTGATGATTTTGTTTCTTTCCAGCTTTTGGTTACCCAGGATATGGTCTACCAGGCATGCCAGGTAACTTCAACCCATTCCTGCTCAACCCATCATGGTTCGACGCTGCGTATATGTCCTACGCACTGCCAGACTACTTCCGCAACCGTGGTCAACAACTCCACCAGAATCTGGTCAAACCACCAATGCCCGCCACTCTTCCCACACCAGCTCAAGCCGCCGCTGACTTCTACATGCCCACAACAGCACCAGTCTTCCATCCGCCACCATCCTTCCTACCAAACATCCCGCAATCCAGCCAACCTAACCATCAATTCCACATCTCACCACCTTTGGTACCTTCACCAATCGAACAACTCTCGGTACGCTTATCACCCATGAGTAAAGCCGAAAGTGTCAGCCCACGCATCAACTCCACCATGGACCACTCCAACTCGGAACACTCCGATGATGAAGAAGACATCGACGTGGTCAAGTCCGCCTTCCAGCCCATCAAGCTCGCCAGCCAGGCGTTGCAGGAAGTGCAGGTGCAACCAGCGCCCGACTCCACCACAGTCGCCGAGGAACCAGTGCGCGTCAAATGTGAACTGAAAGCGCCGAGCGCGCGCAAATCCAGCCCAATAACGCAAGGACACAAGTCGCCGTCGACGAAGATCCAGCCCGCCAATGCGACGAAACCGGTGTGGCGGCCATATTAGACCAATGGTGCGACGATGAGTTGAGGTGTGTTTAAGCTGCAATAGATGTGGATGTGTCCCCCCTAGGCCCTAGGATATATGTGTAAATATTTGTACATACGATTTTGTAAATTGTAAATTCAAAGTGTAATTTATTTATTATATACATCAGAAAGGTATTCTATATATTAGAGGTATATTTAGTACTGCAATTGTGATAGCAGAAGGATGTGAAAGTATTGTGGACGACTACAATTATATAAACAAAATAGGCTAAGTAATGTTTAGGCATGATAAGAATCGGAGAATTTTTATAGCGTATTTTTGTACAGATGAAAGTAATTAACATTATTGATCCACAGAAATAAGAGAAATAAGATTTTTGACTAGTACAATAAATAAATAAATTTTATTATAAATTACTCAGCGCGTTTTTGTGATTTTTCTTCGCGAATTTTGTTTGGAGAAAGTCTTAAGTCATGCATGTTGTCAATTAAGTCATTTGTTTCATGCACGAAAGTTCATGCACGCTAAAACGTCAGGCTCCGGCCTTGCCCGTCTCGGATGTATTAATGCACGAATTGATGTTTCACATGCCTCGCTCGAAACACGAACATCAAGCTGGGCCAGCGCTGATTGGTGATTATCAATCGACTAATTTGCTGCACACCGCGGCGTGCGGAATGCGCGCCGCGCTATGTGCATGTGGATTTTTCATCAGGCGAGTATAATTAGTTGGCAGCTAGTTAGTTGGTTAACTAATTAGGATTGATTTCGAGTTTCGGTGGCGCGCACATGCACGCCGAGGCGTGTAAACGTTGATTAGTTCCGCGTTGCATGCAGCGCCACAGAGATCGGCCGCCCCCCGTCGACCGTGGGGGGTGTCGCTCGGACAAACACCGCCGGAGGAACGCGCACACAGTGATTTTATTGCGTTCGCATCACGGGCGCTTCGCAAACTCACCAGTCGACGTGCTTTCGGCGAGGCGTTCTGGGACGCCATGGGGCGCTTATGAATTTCGTCGCTAACGACGCCGTCACTTTCGGCGACGCGCGGGATAAGTCACCGGGCGCACGGCGAAGACGGTTTGCGACAGCCAGTATGGGGACGACGCACACGCGAATTGAGCATATACATGGGGCGTCACATTTCATCGAATTTCATGGACCAGCGAGTCCTTTGTGCATCTCGTCGCATGTGCGTTCCCAACGCGCACACACACACACGTCCCGGCGTCCTCTTGTCACCGTTGGCGACTGCCAACGAGGCGAGCGGCAAACAACGCGATAGGGTGGCTGTGTGACTGCCAACGCGAGCAGTTGATCGAGTCTTCCGATTTCAAATATTGCCAACTATTACACACAGTATCACCCAAAAAACGAAAAAAAAAATCTAAGTCCAACCTATTCCGGTGTTAAAAAGTGTTAAAAAGTAGCATTGGGTTCATTTTCGGTAGGACACAACAGATGTGCGCGCCTCGCTCGCGAAAACCAGCCGACTACGGTTATGATTAATGTCGAGAGGGCTGTCGGTAGCTCGAGGTTCGACGAGGGCACGCCATGGGCACCTATTCGAAACCGATTTACGAGTTGTGCGCTCGCTGCATGAGATGCAGCGCGGCGAAGGGCGCCGTATATTACGCCGTGTTTATGCGAGCCCTTTTTATGTCGTCACGATTCGCTGCACAAGTATCAAAACGGAACAACAGGAGACCGAAAATATTGTGATTTTCGAGCGCGCCGACGAGAGGTGCTTCGCGCGCGTTCGAATTTTGAGATTTCATAAATGGGGGAACAAAGGGCGACTTGTTGGCACCCCATGGGCACAATGTGCAAACTTTCCTTCCACAGCACCAAACACCACCTAATATACCAACTCCAATATGTGAGTTTTATTTTGAATTTGAATTTTAATTTTGCAAATAAAGATATCAAACTAAATTACAGAGAGTATTTTGTTGGGACCTAGAATTTTCAGGCGTTTTTCGATTTCGAAAAAATCGATTCATTAGCCGTGGCGAATTTGAAGGGCTTGTCCTTGTCCGAGGGGCGCACCAATATTTGCCGTGTACTGATTGGGACAGGCAGGTAAGTTGATTAGCGATTAGGGCGATTGTGACGCGCGCTCAAAGAGCCTAATTACCAGCGCCGCATACGGCAAATCCGCTCGGCACACACGGCAGCCGCCACTGCCGCGCGTGTGTGTCGGTGCGGTTGTAAAACAGAGCGAGTCGGAAAATCGCCGAGCGCAAAACGCGGCCCGCCGAGGCCGCCGCCCGAAAAGCGCGGTCCGCCGTCGACACGCCGAGGCGCCCGCCCACCCCCGGGGCTTGCCATGCACAGACGCGCAAACACACCGGCCTACCGGTAGTCAATCAGACCAGTACTCAATACAATTCTACTTACACATAATTATAGTATTTTACATCAAAACAAATTAATTTTAAAATTTTTTGGAAAAAAAATTAAAAAATCAAAAAATAAATGAATAAATAAATTAAATTTTTAATTCGGTCCTGAATGCCGTTTGCAACCTCATCCCCCAACGCGGCGATGCCATGCGGGACGCCGCGCCGCCACACCGCCAACCGACACGTACCCGAATAACACATGCACGCCGCCGCCGTGCGTCGAAACGAGACGGAAGAAGCGGAGGCCGCGTCCGGGGCGCATATAATCGCATGTTGTGCTCCGTCAACTGCACGTCACGAGTTACGCGCGCCGCACACACACGTATCGAGATGGCGAGCAGCGAGCGCGGGAATTAGCGGCAACGCGGGGACGGCTGCCCGATGGCACGCCGGGGGTTTATTATTCGTATAATAAACACCCGCTGAAATCAAAGTGGACAAACTGGAGTGGAATTTTTTCGCTGACCAAACAAGAGAAATGGCCGCGTGTAACGAGCATGCTAATTGCAAAACGACGCAATAAAACACCATCTCCAGCATTGTCACGCAAAAATATTCACCGATGTAATTAAAGATGTGTTGATACCTGAAGCTGGAGCAAAGTCTATTCATGAATTTCGGTAACATTTTTCAACATTTTTCGACTTTTCTTTGCTGGACGCATTGTGCATAACTGCCAAACAGTTTAAGCTGCATGTAATGGTCGTGTGTGAATCGAACCGCAAAAACGTAATGAGATTTATTATCGCCTTTTCCCCAAATATTTATTTAAGAGTTGACAGCCGATGACAATGCGACGGTACTCCACACAACGCCTTCGGCGTACGATTATTGAGATGTCTTCGGCCGACGCGAAGAAACATTTATCACTACACGCATAGTGATAGTGAATGAACGCAATGGTTGAATGGCCATACCGGGAAATGCTCCTCGGCACCGCTTTTCAATGCCGGGCGAACGCCTCTGTGTATACAAACTATGCGTGCATAAAACGCCGATGTATACAAACACATAAATCTATTTTTCGGCGTTTTCGCCCGAAAGTTTTCACGTGTTTAGCATCGCGCATTTAATGCGCCTGCCATTTTAATGGTGTTACACATCTGGTTGGCGAGCATTACGCAAATCTCGCGTTCATAAACGCAGCGTGTAAACAGACGTAAAACTGCACGAGATCCACGATTAAATAATTATGTAGTTACGTGTGTGTTGTTCTCGTATACATGATTTTTCGCAATTATAGGCCTTTGGCGCGCCCGTTTCGGGTCATCATCATCATCGTGGTGCGACGAGGGCTAAGGATGCACTCGTCGCAGCGAGGCGCATTTTCACACATGTTTCCCCTCTCTAATAATAGAAACGCGGCAATAACAATAAGCATAAATAGACGAGGGTCGAATGTTAACGACTTCAATCTAGCTAACGTCTTCATATGGGTATAAATAAAACATAAAACATTCACATCAGCGAGCAGCGCACCGATTTGGTTAAACGCACGCTGTGGGGTTAGCCGAAGTCGAAAACCGAAAACCCATGCGTCGTAAAGACAAATACGTAATAAAAATCAAAGCTTACCGAAGAGACGAAGAGAAGAAGAAGAAAAAAACCGAAAATCAAACAAAAACAACAAAATCTACAATTAACATGTGAATTTTTGAGGTTAGAATTACAAATGACAACTTAAAAATAGGTTAGATTTGAGGTTATGTTGTTTTTCATTCAAATATCTATTTTTTTAGAAATAAAAAAACTTGAGAGCTAATAAAAAATGATTTTCTAATAACTGTGCTAACAATTTTTTTGACGAAAATCTAACAAAAACAACAAAATTTACATTTAACATGTGAATTTTAGAGGTTAGAATCACACATGACAACTTAAAAATAGGTTAAGTTTAAGGTTATGTTGTTTTACATTCAAATATCAATTTTTTTCGAAATAAAAAACTTGAGAGTTAATAAAAAATGATTTTCTAATAACTGTGCTAACAAATTTTTTGACGAAAATCAAACAAAAACAGCAAAATTTACAATTAACATGAGAATTTTTGAGGTTAGAATCACACATGACAACTTAATAATAGGTTAGGTTTGAGGTTATGTTGTGTAACATTCAAATATCAATTTTTTTCAAAATAAAAAAACTTGTAAGCTAATAAAAAATGACTTTCTAATAACTGTGCCAACAAATTTTTTGCGCGCCAGGATTACATCCTTGTAATATTAATTTAATTTACTGAATGCCAGCTGGTGGATAAAGTTGACATTGGCATTGAGTAAGGCACACTTGTCTCCCGGTTGTGTGACACATTTAATGCGCGCTTGTAATAAATCGACGCGTCTCGATTTCACACACGTTTCTCAATGCACCTCCGAAATAATCTGACAGGTTGGTTGCGTCTTTTTTGCGCGTGCATCACATCCGGTGATTTATAACGGCGGGGCGCGGGCGTTCGGGCGTTCTTTTCATTAATTCTCCGTCTTTGGCGCATTGTGCGCTTATGATTTGAGAATTTCGTGTGTTGGTTGACCATTTCGGGGCCGCAGATCCATGGCCGCTTATGTGGTATGTTTGGCTTTCTGAATGCCAGCGAAAATAAACACACAAGCGTGCTGCGCGGGGCGCACACAACACAACGGTAGTAACCGTCCCGAAGATGTGTGAAAGAAGAAGGAAGCCGAAGTCATTCAGATTCGGCACAACAATCACCAAAAGTGCGCAACAAAGTGCAACACCGTGAGATAGTTTTCGGGGCGAAGTTTTTTTTTCGAAAGTTTCGAGTGAGAGGAAACTGCATAGTGCTAATAGTACGTGTTGATACATTATTGATTCGCATTTTTGATTTTGGTTCATGACGCGCAGGAAGGGTGCATCGGTTACCATCAGTTAGGCTTAGTTGTGCAGCCAGGGGGTCGCGATAGTTGCGCGCAATGAAATAAAACTGTGGCACTACAAAAGGATGGAAGCACTGAGCGGCGAACGACGCTCCTGATGGCGAGCTTTGATTC